GACCCTTTCCTGACTGTCCTAAAACAGCTGCCCCAAATTGCTCACCATCTGCTTACCCTACTTCATTTTCCCTTCATTCTTTGGTGGAATAGTATATACTTACTGCTCTGTGACACTACAATGTGTGTGTTAGTCACTCAGTCATGTCCGACTCTTTGCGACCCCATGGACTGTATCCTGCCAGGCTTCTCTGTCCATGGAATTCTCCAGGCAAGGATACTGGAGTGGATTGCCAGACACTACAATACATGGCACATATTCATTTGCTGTCTATGCAAGATAAATCGCCCTACTTCTTGGGGCTTAAAACTGATTTGTTATTTTTCACAATTCCATGATGAGATGGTTGGATGGCATCATTGACTCGATGGAGATGGGTTTGGGTGGACTCCGGGAGTTGGTGATGGACAGGGAGGCCTGGCGTGCTGCTGTTCATGGGGTCGTAGAGTCGGACACGACTGAACTGAACTGAATGGGTTTATGGGTGACTCCTTTCCTGGTCTTGCCTAGAATCAGTTGAGTTGTTGCACTGGGATGACAGTTGGACTGGCTGGAAGAGCCAAGAGGATTTTTCTTGCTGGAGGCCATGGGGACCGCCTTCTCCTCCACGTGGCCTCTCGTTCTCACCCAGCAAAGTCAGGCTTTCTAACCAGGAGACCCGCAGCACGCCAGGAGCACGTGGGTGGAAGCCGCAAAACACACTGGCCCCCCCGGACTCTGATTTCACGTGGTGGCGCTTCTGCACACTCACTGGTCAAAGCAAGTCCAGCGGGTGTTCTAGATTCTGATTGAGAGGAAACTGATTCCATGTGAGGGGAGGAGTCACAAAGTCACAGTGCAGGGTTTTGTGTAGGAAAGGGGTAAGATTTGGTCCAGATGTCTCAGTCTTGCACAGTAACTAAGAGGATTGGCTGTGTTGCAGGAGGAACATGGTTTTGGATTAGGGCCCAGACGCGTTTTGGCTAAATCCTGGGTGAACTACCTTTCCTGTCTGAACTTGTGATTCCTTCCTGTGAAGTAGAAGCCATCCAGTTTTTTTTTTAAAATTTATTTATTCACTTGTTTTTGGCCGTGCTGGGTCTTCTTTGCTGTGCATGCTTTCTCTAGCTGTGGCAGTGGGGGTTACTCTCTCCTTGTGGAGCACGGACACAGCAGTTGTGCAGCATGTGGGATCTTCCCAGACCAGGACTTGAACTCGTGTCTCCTGGGTTGGCAGGTGGATTCCTCACCACTTGAGCCATCACAGAAGACCCAGCAATCCAGTTTTATCATCACCCTGATTATCCTCCTTTTAGTTATCGCCAAGAATGCTTTCAAATTGTGGTGCTAGAGAAGACTCTTGCAGGGTCCCTTGGGCTGCAAGAAGATCAAACCAGTCAGTGCTACAGGAAATCAACCCTGAATATTTATTGAAAGGACTGATGCTGAAGCCGAAACTCTGATACTCTGGCCACCTGATACAAAGAGCTGACTCCTTGGAAAAGACTTTGATGCTGGGAAAGATTGAAGGCAAAAGGAGAAGGGCGCAGCAGAGGCTGAGATGGTTACGTAGTATCACTGACTCAACGGACATGAATTTGAGCAAACTTTACAGAATAATGGGGAACAGAGAAGCCTGGTGTGCTGCAATCCATGGGGTCTCAAAGAGTTGGGTGCGACTTAGCCACTACACAACAAAAACAAGAAAACAGGTTAAAATCAACACTTCTAAGACCTTTTCTCTCCCTGACCATGGGTAATCCATTTAACTAGAATTTTCAGTTGATCTTGGATGGCCAGTCATAGAAAGATTATAATAACAATATCAACAGCAAAAATAAAAGCAACTACCTCTTATGGAACACTGCCAGGCTGAAGGTGTTGCTCTGCAGCTCTCTTGAAACAGTCAGGGAGTCTTTGGGTCACCCCAGAAGCAGAGTCTAAGGATTAGAGGACTTGTAGTTTACCTGGGAAGTGGTTCTAGAAGCCCCTGGAGGAATGTGAGGACAGGAAAGGGAAGGGAAAATGGTAGTATAGGATGTGCTCAGGTGCAGGTACTGCTGTGGGCACCTGGGGCTGCATCTCACCGGGGACCTTTGGGAGTTGGTGCAGAACACATGACTCCAAGTTACACTAATGAGTGTCTTCCTTTAAAAGAAACTTCTCTTGTCTTTTCATTTTATTTGATCATGTAATTCTCTCTCATTCCTGCCTGAGACAAGGTGAGAGAATAGGAATCAAATAACAATTTTAAACACAAGGTGGATAAGGTTTGTTATTTCTAAGGGTTGTTGAGAGGATGTGAGAAGGTGGAGTCTGTAAATGCATCTATGCTGCTAAGTCGCTTCAGTCGTGTCCGAGTCTGTGCGACCCCATAGACAGCAGCCCACCAGGCTCCCCCATCCCTGGGATTCTCCAGGCAAGAACACTGGAGTGGGTTGCCATTTCCTTCTCCAATGCATGAAAGTGAAAAGTGAAAGTGAAGTCGCTCAGTCGTGTCCGACTCTTCGCGACCCCATGGACAGCAGCCTACCAGGCTCCTCCGTCCATGGGATTTTCCAGGGAAGGGTACTGGAGCGGGGTGCCATTGCCTTCTCCAAAATGTATCTGTAAGGGGGGCTAAAATGCAGGAAGTGCTCCTTACCAAAAAAAATTTTTTTTTCCTTTTCATCGAGGCCCATCCAGGTCACCTGACTTGCCGGTCACTGCTCCCGCCTGGCATTCCAGGGCTCCTTGTCCAACTTGATTGGTCTTCCTTTTCTTTTGTAACACTTGTGACTTTTTTGTTTGTTTTATATTTTATTTTTATAGTGGAGTACGGTTGATTCACAATGTTGTGTTAGTTTCAGTCTTACAGAAAAGTGATTCAGTTATACATGTACATAAATCTATTCTTTCACAAATTCTTTCCCCAGTTTTGTTGTTGCAGAGTTCCCTGGGATGTACAGTAGGTCTTGTTGGTTAACCATTTTAAATACAGCAGTGTGTAAATAATTGCAGATTCCCTAACTATCCCTTCCCCCACCCTTCCGTTCTGCTAACCATAAGCTAGTTCTTTAAGACTATGAAGCCTGTTCCTGTTTTGTAAATAAGTTCAGTGTGCTTGTGACTTTTAAAAAAAGTGTTTTAAAATTAGTTCATTTATTCATTTTTGGCTGCGCTGGGTCTTCGTTGCTGCATGGGCTTTTCCCTAGTTGAAGCGAGTGGGGGCAACTCTCCAGTTGCTGTGCGCAGGCCTCTCATTGAAGTGGCTTCTCTCGTTGATGAATGAGTACCAGCTCTAGGGTGCAGCATTTGGGCTCGGTAGTTGAGGCACATGGGTTTTGTTACTCCTTGGCGTGTGGAATCTTCCTGAACTAGGGATCAAACCCAGGTCTCCTGCATTGGCTGGTGGATTCCCATCCACTGTACCACCAGGGAAGTCCTACTTGTGACTTTGAAAAACAATGTTAGAGTTCTTACGCTCAGCATATGAACACTGGGGGCCAATCAGTCTCTGCTGTGGGGGCTTGTCCTGTGCGTTGTAGGATGTTGAGCCCCGTCTTTGGCCTCTATTCACTAGATGCCAGGAGCACCCCCACCAACTGTGACAACCACAAATGTCTCCTGACATTGGTCCATGTCAGTGGGGGAGATTAATTGCTTGGAGTTTAGAGCAGCTATGCTATTCAGCTATCTTTTGATTCTGTTCATTGTTGGCTGTTCCCACATCCTGGAAGTGAAAAGTGAAAGTTGCTCAGTTGTGTCCAACTCTTTGAGACCCCATGGACTGTCCATGGCATTCTCCAGATCATAATACTGGAGTGGATAGCCTTTCCCTTCTCCAGGGGATCTTCCCAACACAGGGGTCGAACCCAGGTCTCCCCCATTGCAGGCAGATTCTTTACCAGCTGAACCACAAGGGAAGCCCAAGAACACTGGAGTGGGTAGCCTGTCCCTTTTCCATAGTATCTTCCTGACCCAGGAATTGAACCCAGGTCTCCCGAACTGCAGGTGGATTCTTTACCAACTGAGCTATCAGGGAAGCTCCTACTGGAATGTAAACTCCAAGGGAAAAGGAGTTTGCTTCTTTGGGGGCCTTGACGTAGCTTCAGTTCCTTGGCCTGTGGTAGGCGTCCAGCATTAGTTGAAAGAATGAGTGACATTTGGAGGGTTTTGTGCCTGGGGATGGTGTCAAGGCTTGCCACATATTACTTCATTTGTTCATCACAGCATTCCTTGGAGGGAGGCCTTGACATTGTCCCCCTTTACACAGAGGAGGAAAACAGAGGCTTCTAGAAGTTCCATATGGATACCCTATACATACACACCCAATCGTGGAGTCCAGAAGCTTAGCTGACTTCCCCTCAACAATCGGCAATGTTCTCCCTTCTGGCGGAAGAGGACTGAATGAAGCTCAGGTCAGTTGCAACTTCTAGCTGGCACCTGCAGCAGAGCTGAAAAGGGATGAGCAGCTGGCACGGGGTGGGGTGGGGGGTGTGGGTAGAGTGGCAGTTGGGGGGGACCTGAAGAGGCTTTCTCAGGGACCGAAGGGAGCGGCCTTGAACTTGACTGGGTTCACCCTGTCTCTCTCTGAAGGAAGACTGCTGCCAGACCTATAAGAGGTGCAGACTGGGCTGGAAAGCAAAGCCCCAGCAGGCTCTGGGAAGTGTCGCTAGAGTGTGTACTTGGTGATGGGCCACCCGGGATGAGCAGCCTGGAGATGCTGCTGCAACCAGGCCCGGGAGGCCGGATCTGCACACACATAAACACACACACATGCACACACTTCACTCCCCACCCCTTCCCCCACACTTCTTCTCCCCCTCCACCCCCCAACTCCCCACTTCCCCTCCCCACCCCTCCCTTACTCCAGCCCAGCCCAGCCCAGCCCAGAAAGGGTCCATCTCTGTGATTGGTCCGTGGTTCTCAGTACCAGGAATTGAGATCAGGAAGATGGGAAGGAAGGAAGAGGGTGGGTAGGATGGGGGAGGGATGGGACTACTTTTGTATCTACTCCCAGAGCTAGGCGCCTGCTCACCATGGACACTGCAGGGTACCGAAAGTGGGACGGCAGGCAGGAAGAGATCCCTGGAGGTATGAGCAACCGGGCTGCCTCAGAGGTCCCCTTGGGTCCCTCTCTGGCCAGTGGTTTGGGGTTTGATGGGGAAGGGAGGGGCTTTCCAGGTGGCGGTAGTAGTAAAGAACCCCCCTGCCAATGCAGGAGACGTAAGAGATGCAGGTTCATTCCATCCCTAGGTTGGGAAGATCCCCTGGAGGAGGGCATGGCAACTCACTCCAGTATTCTTGCCTGGAGAATCCCATGGACAGAGGAGCCTGGCGGGATACCATCCATAGGGCTGCAAAGAGTCAGACAAGAGTGAAGCGATTTGGCACGCACGCCCGCATGCACAGGGGAAGGGAGAGGATCAGCCAAGAGAGAGCTTATGTAGTGGGTGCAGGAAAGACACCACAGATCCTAGAGTCAGCTGGACCTGATTTCAAATTCCAACTCTGCCTCTTAGGGACTGTGTGACCACAGGCAAGTTACTGCACCTCTCTGAATCTTAGTTACCTGGGAGAAACCCAAGTGACTGGGGCTGTCCTTGGAGCCCAAGGATCCAGGGAGGAGCTCAGGAGTCTGTTTGTGTTATCCCAGGGCTCTCGGGACGCTGGGGACAGAGACCCCTCTTCCTGGTCTTGGCTTTCATGGTCATCACAGTCCTGTGGACCCTCATTCTCAGCGTCCTGTTTTCCAAGGGTGAGTGACTGGATGATGGGAGATGGCGTGTGCACCGCCAGCCCCCAGGGAACATAGACGTTTTCTGCGCCCCGGGGCACACCAACCAGATCCGGGACCTCTGCCTGGGTCTGAGTGTGAGCGCCCACGTGCGCGAACCTGTGCATGTGCCCGCCCTATGTCAGTGTGTGTGCGCATCACGTGCGCTGCACGTCTGTCCGCTGCACGTCTGTCCGCTCCCTTCTGTGCACCCCATGACCCGGGTCCCCGCACTCCCAGGGGCCGAGGGGAGAGTTTTCGAGCCCTCCTCTCTCCGCAGCATCCACCGAACGCGGGGCGCTGCTTGACCACCAACGCCTGCTGAGCACAAACGGTACGGAGAGAACTGAGGCTCTCGCCAGAGTTCGGGGGCAGAAGGGTCTCGGACCCCGGTGTCGGAGTAGTGGGCGGGAGCTCGGGGATCCCACGGTCCGCGGGGCTGGCCCTGGAGTTGGGTGGGGTCCTGGGAGTCCCCGAGGGTGACTTGGCGTGTGTGCGGGTGGGCGTGGAATCCTTCCAGCCTCCAAACAGACGGTGGTGCTGGGTATCTTGAAGGAGGAGGTCCGAGCGTGCAATAGCTGCTGTGAGTAAGACGGTGGTGGTGGGCTGGGGGCGAGGGGCCGGGACTTGTGGCCGGGATTGGAGGAGGCGAGTGGGAGCGGGGCCCGCGGCGCGTAGGGGCTGGGCGGGCTGACCTCAGATGCCCCGCTCCCGTCACCTCACCTCCTCCCCAGGCCTGGGGACGCAGGCACAGCTGCAGACAGTCAGCAAGGAGCTTGGAGAGGCAAGGTCGAAGTTGTTCCAGCAGGAGAGTGCCCTAAAAGAACTGAGTGAGCGCGGTGAGTGCGGGACCACCCCTGTCCCCTCACCCCGGCTGTTACCCGAAACTTGATTCACTCTGGACCCTTCTGTGACCCCCCCCCCAACTATCCTGTGATCTTGACCATTGACCCAAATCGTGTCCACCATCCTGACCCTGACCTGTGAACTCTAACCTTAAATGCAAGTCCTAACCCCAATCACAACGGGCACCCTACCCAGCTCTAACAGTCCTTTCCAGTGATATCACTCATGACCTTGGCACTGACCACGGACGTGGATGCTGACCTTAACTAATCATGATCTTACCCTCGATCCTGACCCTAGCTATACTTTTCTCCCTCTCAGTGACCCAGAGCCTGGCTGAAGCCGGTAGGGACCGTGAGAACATTCGCACTGAGCTCTTCCGGGCACTGGAGCAAGCCCGGCTTGGAAACAGTGAGCACGCGGGGAGGGCGGAGACGGGAGAGGATCAGTGGACCCTGCCCGGGGTTCCCTGATCTGCCTGGCCCCGTCCTTTGACCTTGGCCTGGTCTCGGTGGTTCCAACCCTGGGCCCGGGGTGTGTGTGTGTGGTGGGGGGGGGGGTGGTTGTCCAGCATCCCCCTCTCCAATCCACTCGTCGGCTCCACTTGGGAGCAAACCATCTCTTTGACCCTCGCCACCCTGCAGGCTCCTGCAAGGAGTGCCCCGAGTCGTGGCTGCCGTTCCAGGGCTCCTGTTACTTCTTCTCCACTCTGCGGGCCACGTGGGTGGAGGCACAGCAGCATTGCGAGCGCTCCGGCGCGCACCTGGTGATCGTCGGAGGCCTGGAAGAGCAGGTGCGAAGCCCGGGCTGCCAGCGAGCCGGGAGAGGGCGGGGTTTACCCGAGGGGCGTGGCTCGGGTTAGGGGGCGGGGCAGGAGGGACGCCGCCCGCTCAGTCTTCCCCACCGCCCAGGGTTTCCTGAGTCGGAATACGCGTGGCCTCGGTTATTGGCTGGGCCTCAGGGCCGTGCGCAAGGTGCGCAGGATCCAGGGCTACCAGTGGGTGGACGGAGTCGCGCTCAGCTTCAGGTGAGAGAAGGGAACTGGGGAGGCTGACCGTTCGGATCCTAGGGGAAGTGCTTCGGCCAGATCATAGGGTCTCCTTAGGGCTGGGCGGGCCAGACCCCAGGAACCGACTAGGGTTAAATTGTGGGCTGAGAAAGTTATATACCAAGGTGTTAATTCTCAGGATGTGAGGGTTAGACCCAAGTAATAAACAGGTTAGAACTCGGAAAAGCCTAGCTTTTCAGCAACACCCCCCCCCCCCCACCCCGGTCAAACCACTGCAGCCACTGGAATCGGGGGGAGCCCAACGACTCTATGGGGCGCGAGGATTGTATCATGATGCTCCGCACGGGGTTGTGGAACGACGCGCCGTGTGACAACGAGAACGACAACTGGATCTGTGAGAAGAGGCTCAGCTGCTGACCTTGCCCCCTGGCCCAGAGCCGCGCCCACTGGCACTTGTCCAATCGCCTGAGCCGCTCACCTTCCTGGCTCCGCCCACCACCGTGAATCCCCTCCCCACCCAACTCTAGCAATAACCATGGCGCCACCCACAGCCCAAGCCAGTAACTGCACGGGGAGACTTGCGCTCCAGTCTCGCTGCAACCCCCGACCCGTAGACCTCACCAAGTCTGCTCCCGCTCCAAAAATCTGAGCTCCTTGGACCCGTGATCTGACCCCCATCGCCCTTCCTAACCAAGGCCCGGCGACTCAGGGATGGAGCTGTTTGATTTATTTGCATTTTTACCCCAGGTGAGCTGCCTCAAAGATAGGGGATTTTGTGAACCTTCTTGGCAGCCCTAGGGAGCATCAATAAATGAGAAAATGAATCTTGGCTCCTGCCTCTGATCTAAGCTTTATCTCAGAGACTCTGATGTAATTGTTGTGAGTGACCCTGAGGTCAGGGGCCCACGTGCATGCACGTGTGTCCGACTCTTTCCCACTCCATGAACTGTGGCCCACCAGGTTCCTCTGTCATGGGATTTCCCAGGCAAAAATACTGGAATGGGTTGCCATTTCCTTCTTCAAGGAATCTTCCTGAGCCAGGGATCGAAGCTGCATCTCCTGTGTCTCCTGCATTGGCAAGCAGATTCTTTACCACTAGAGTCACTTGGGAAGCCTCCAGGGGCTGATGATTTCTCCCCCAACCCCAAACCCAGTGTGTAAGTTGCATTGGGTCAGGGGGGTTGTAGAGCCCTGGGAACACAGGAATGAGTCAGACCCTGTCCCTATGCCCTGGGACAATGTGACCAGTGACTAGATTGAGGAATGCATGGAGGAGTCTCCTGTATCCCCAGAAGAGGGACTCTGCTGAGATGCTGCAGTGCTGGCCCAGTTCCCTGAGGAGACTGTCACCCTGTTGAGATTACAGGTAGCCTGACACAAGGTCCTGACACAGAGATGGGAGAGGGGCAGCTCGGATCTGGTGAGCAGACTCCTTCTGTCTTGGGCACCCCAGATCCTGTGAGGAGTTCAGGAAATACATCTAGAAAAGATGGACTTTGGAAGAACAATGGGATTTCAACTCTGGCAATGGAGCTGGGAAGGGAGGGCTTTGCAGACAGAGGGTGTTGGCAAGTAGAGGGTGTCGCTGAGCCCATTTCGGGGTGGGGGTGGAGAATTGTGAGGAGCGCACAGCCTGAATTTATCAACTGGGGACTTTTGATCTGAATTTACCCAGCACTCCCATCCTGAGGACCTGGAGGCTCTCCCAGGCTTTCCAGTGGAGACAGGTCCAACTGTCCAACTGAGGGGAGTGACAGGCTAGCAGCATTTAGTTTGGTTCAAAGCTGAGTCCAGAACCAAGCTGCCCAGCCCTGAGCGCATCCACTGAACAGGAAGAGGAGGGATCAGCACCGAAACTCCCTGACCAGGCGGAATCTTTCAGTGTCTCTGAATCCTCTAAACTGCAGCCCAGAGCAAGACAGTGACCTTGCCCAGGAGCTGTCTGGACTTCTGGACAGATATCGTACCTAGCAGACTGTTGGTCAGACTGATGGATTTCTGGATAGTCAGCTAGGGAGAGTGCATGAGCTTCCTACTGCTGCTGTAACAAATGTCCACCAGCTTGGTGGCTTGAAACAATATACAGCTATTCTACACCTGTGGAGGTCAAAATTAGTTTCACTGGGATGAAATCAAGGTCACCAGGATCAGGGTCCCTCCAGAAACTCCATATGACCCAGCAATTTCACTTCTGGATAGATATTCAAAGGAATTGAAAGTGGGTTCTTTAAAAAAGTTTTGGCTGGGCTAGGTCTTAGTTGCTGCACACAGGCTTTCTCTACTTACCTTGCATGGGCTTCTTATTGTGGTGGCTTCTCTGGTTGCAGAGAACAGGCTCTAGGGCTCACAGGCTTCAGTAGTCATGGTGCAAGGGCTCAATTGCTCCACAGCATGTAGAATCTTCCCAGACCAGGGATTGAACCCATGTCTCCTGTATTGGCAGGCAGATTCTTAACCACTGAACCACCAGCAAGGTCCTGAAAGGAGGGTCTTGAAAAGACATTTGCATACCCATGTTTGTAGCAGCATTATTCACAATAGCCAACCAGTAGAAGCAACCCAAGTGTGCATCAATGGATGAATGGATAAACCAAACAAGCTCATCCATATGATGGAATATTATTTAGCCTTGAAAAAGGAAGGAAATTCTGACACATACTGTAACAGTATGCTGTGTGAAATAAACCACTCACAAAGGACAAATGCTGCTGCTTAATGGATACAGAGTTTCAGTTTTGCAAGAGAAACAATTCTGAAGATCCCTTGCAGAACAATGTGAATATACTTTTTTTGGCAGCACTGGGAATCTTAGGTCCTCTAACCACAGAGGCCTAACCACTGGCCCACCAGGGAAGTCCCCAGTGTGAATATACTTAACACTCCTGAAGTGTCCACTTAAAAATGGTTAAGGTGGTATGATTACAAGGGAAGAAGAAATGTTTGGATGGAGGTAGCTCTTTTTCATCACAAAATATATTCATTCTACATATAATACATTTCATAAAATTTTATGAAATATTTCATAATGTTTTTAATAAAAGGCTGAAAAATGCAAAAAAAGTGGTTAACATGGTGAATTTTATCCTATGTGTCTTTTTCCACAATTTCAAAATTTTTATTTTCACTTCATTATTATTATTTTTTTTTTTTGCCAAGCTGCCCACCTTGTAGGATCCTAGTTCCCCAATCAGGGATTGAACTCATGCTCCCTGCAATGGAAATGAGGAATCCCAACCACTGGACCGCCAGGGAAGTACCCCAAATTTTTATTTTAAATGCACTTATTTGCAAGTTAACAAGTTTTGAGGACTGTATACAACTGTGTAACCACCATTGTATTGCAGATACAGAACATCTCCATCAGCCCCTAAAATTCCTTCTCATCCCGTCCCAGTCAGTCCTCATCCTCTTCCTTCCCCCAGGCCACCATGACCTGCTTTCCATCAGTATTGACTAGATTTGTTTTTCCTCAAATGCCATATAAACTGAGGCATACAGTGTAGAGTGCTGTAATTTGTTTCTTTTTCTTTTAAAAAAAATTTATATATTTTTGGCTTCAACGGGTCTTAGTTGCGCTTGGTGTTGGGACTCTAGTTGCAGCTCATAGGCTCAGATGCCCTGAAGCATGTGGAGTCTTAATTCCCTGACCAGGGATTGAACCCACATCCCCTGCATTGCATGCTAGATTCTTAACCACTGGACCACCAGGGAAATCCCTGAAGTTTGTTTCTTTTCATTGCCAGATCATTTACTACTGGCTGGCTGGACTGCCTTCTGTGTATCCAGTCACCTGTTGACAGATGTTTGGCTTGCTTCCAATATGTGACTATGAATGAAGCTGCTATGAACAATCTTTTTATGGATTTAAGTTTTCACTTCTCTTGGGCAAATACCTGGGAGTGGGTCAGATAGGAAGTGAGGATTAACTTTATAAGAAATTGCCAAACAGTTTTCCAAAGTGGTTGCATCATTTCTGCACACCCAGTGCTCAGCAATGTCTCGAGCCTGCAGTAGCTGGGATGGGGGGTATTTTTTTTAAGATTTATTTATTTGATTTTTGGTTGTGCTGGGTCTTCATTGCTGCACACAGGCTTCTCTAGTTGCAGCAAGCAGGGGCTATTCTTCATTGAGGTGCTTGGGCTTCTCATCGCAGAGACTTCTTGTTGCAGAACACAGGCTCCAGGGTGTGTGGGCTTCAGTGTTTGTGGCTCCCAGGCTCTAGAGCAGAGGTTCATAGTTGTGGCAAGCAGGGGTTTAGTTGCCTCGCAGCATGTGGGGGATCTTCTTGAGCCAGGCATCAAACCCGTGTCCCCTGCACTTTGCAGGCGATTTCTTAACCACTGGACCACCAGGGAAGTCTGAGGGTATTTTTGACCCAAAAGAGTCTTCAGCAGTTCCAGAATCAGGTGGAAGGGCTTATCTAGAGAAAAGCAGGAGGGCCGGAAGTGAGGCTGGAAACTGAAGCTGATATTGTGGGAAGGCAGGAAGCACGGGTTTACACGTGCCTGATAACACGTGTTTTCACAGGAAGATGAGACTGGGGGGCTGGGAAGCAGGCAGTGGCAGAGGGGGTCTCTGCTATTTGGAATGGCACTCACCCACTCACTCAGAGACAGATAGAAGGGTGGTTGACTGTACCACAAAGGGAGGGCTTCTGGGGATGACAATAGATGGCGCTTCAGCAGACCAAGGAGGAGGTTGGCCCCAGAGAGAAGCTGGAGAGAGGAGAGATGATGGAAGAGCAAGTCTGTGGACAAGAAGCAATTTCATTCATTCATTTAATGCAATCATTTTCTCACCCGAAACACTCCTTGTGCACTTATAATACATCAGGCACTGGAGTTAGAGTGGAAAACAGGAGGTCAGCAGCAAGGGACATGAAGGAATCTAAAAAATCTCAGGCTGAGCAGAAGCAGCCACCCACAAAATATCAATAGTATAGACTCCATGAATCCATTTATATGAAGCTCTAGAATAGGCAGATAATCAAGCAAATAGAGACAATGTTGATTGTAGAATCTAAGAATGGGTTTTCATTCTAAAACTCAAGCTTTCTGTATGCTTGGAAATTGTCATAATGAAATGTTGGGGTTCAGGCTGTGGCTGCTGCCTTCCTGGGGCTCACAGTCTGGCCAGGAGAGGAGGAGATGGTGAGGCACGATAGAAGGTGGTGAGTCCACATGGGGAGATTGGAGGTAGAACATTCTGGAAACACAGTCCCTAACTCCTTGCCCTTCTAGCCTAAGGATGAGGTAGGGCTTGTGCTGGAAAGCAGGGGGTTCAGGGCAGAAGAGAACTCTTTTGACCACCTTCTTATCCTTTCCCAGTGGGTGTCCCCACCAACAACCCCTGTGCACCCACACGACCTCACTCTCCAGGGCCAAGTCAGCAACTCAGAGGTGACCTTGGAGCCCAGC